CCAGCATTTGTAAGAAGCCTACCAAACGGAACCATCAGCAAGTGGTCTTGAGTGAAACTTTTGGTCTCATACACTACCTTTCCTTTACTCAGGAGTCCATGCTGTAATCTGCTTAACAGTTTTTGCCAAGTTGCTACATTCTCAATGAAATTTCCACTGCCCACTCAGCACAAAAAGAACAATGGACCTCAAACTAAGAACAACGGAATCAGAGCTGGGGGAATGGAGAATCCGTTGCTCTACCGATATTGCTGAGATACAGTTTGCACAGCCCTAGACAGTATAATCAGTGGTAAATAATGCTGGAGTTCAGAAATCTATGTAGTGGGGATAAAAATCTCTTCACCTAATCCAAGGATCAGTTTCCTGCCTATTTTCATTCTATGGTCCCATGTTGAAAATATCGCATCACATGAAAAGTTAATGGATGCCTCCCACATCTCTGTCTGCTAAAACTGCTAGAAATAATAATATACCAGAGGGAAATATAGCCACCTAAAATATTATTAATAGCTTAAAATAAAAGAAACTTGGCCTAGGGTAGCTTTCAGATGAACCATTCACATTTAGAGCAATACCTCTGCTATCTATGAAAGACAAACAGGTTTGGGCATGGAGTTCCCATCCACCACCACCTTTTTAATGCTGGTTTGAAAGTGAGTGATTTTTGGCCAGGGTATTAGAAACATGACACATTTAATGCACCCACTTGAAATTGGCCCAAATGACAAAACAGCAAGAAGCAGTTAGAAGCTTCCCGTCTGCTGTCAAAGCCCTGTAATTTGCTGCCTTTCTCCAATCAAGGGCTTCATTGACAAGGCCAGTTCCACTAATGACCTCGGAAAGAGCTTTTCATTTTGCCCTTCCTTGGCTAATCTGCTTGTATCTTAGCAGAAGCTTCCAAAGAGCAGGTGTCACCTGCCCACTCTTTTCAGAAGAAGGGCAAACAGATGTGTTTTGTTACATCATATAGAGGCTTTGTTGGGCTGTCTAATTTCTCTTTATTTATGCACATGTCCTTATCAGCTGGTGAGCATGTTCTTCTCCCCATCCTGCAAATATTTATCTTCCCTCATTCAGTCTGTCGGAACACCGAAATTAGAGGTGTAGAAAAGCTATTAATCCATCATTTCTACCCTATTTCAACATTGTTCCCCCAGGTATCCTTTTTCTATTAGATATCACTTTTAGTTCTCTGGGTGCAATTACTACTAGTTCCTTTCCCAGATCAAATTACACTCTCTCACACACTCCCCTTCATTTGATGCTTCATTTCAGTAAATTTGATTTCAAAAGGTGTGCTGGAAACAAGGCTGAAGCTGGTTAGCCATTTCATTTTGTTACTCTATATAATTCCTTTTCCACCTCACTGAAATGCAGTGCTAGATGGAAGAGATTGTTCCTAGCAGGAAACATTACTCTCTTCCTTCTCTGGCATGATTGCCCTTGCTTACCAACACCAAGGTGCTGGGTATAAAGGTGAAATTTGTTTCCTTTAGCAAGTACTTCACTACCTGAGCCTAAGCTGAAATAAATCAAAACAGGGGATTTGATTGGCATAGCAACTTTCTCCTGCCTGTGGAATAAAGCATGATATATAGCCTCTCTATTATCCTCTCCTCCTTTGGCCTCTTCCTAGATACTGGAATAGCAAAATCATTTATCCAAGGACTGAGGTGTCTAAAATTTATGTCACCATAAATGGCTTTGTCCTGACATCAGATCTCCAGTCAGTGATAAGGCTGGTGACTGGTTCAGTCCTTTCTTTTTAATCTGTAAGGGCAGTGATTTGTAGATCCCCTTGGCTGTGTTTCCCTCCTCATCACTCCTGATATGGAAACAAAATGGCTTTGCTTGGTGAAATGGGTTGGAGTCACTATGGTAGCATGCTTGGGTGATGTGGTGAAATATAGTATGGATTCCCAGGAAGGAGAGACTGCTTTCCAGAGGGCAAAGAGATGGTGGAGCTTGGAAAGTTTGGCCAGCAGAAAGAGGGTAAAATGGCTCCTCCCTAGCTTTTCCCAGAGTGTATCTGCAGTTATGCAAATAGTTGCATTAGTCAGGCAAGATTCTGTCTATAATGTAAAAAACAATAAAGGAAACTACTCTTAACTAACTCCACTGTCATTCTTAGTCCTGACATCTGGAGGTTTTAACCTCCTTTCAAATTTCCTTAGTAGCTGGCACCAGCAAGGATTCTGCTTCCTCCTGCAGTGTTTCTCTGCTCCATTGACCTGTCAGTTGGGCTATTTTGGGACATAGGTATAGTTCTCTTTCAAATGATCTCTCTACCCTAAGTCACTAGCATGGAAAGACTGTGTGAAGCAACAGGTAAACTTTCTTCTGCTTCATCCCACGTTCATCCACTAGGATGTTCCAATATCCTTGTCTACCAAGAATTCTCTTCTTGGGGTGGCTTTTTGTAGTGAGAGATTTGATCACTAAAAAAATTGGTTTGGACAGGTAATTAGAGTTTATGGCAGCATGCTTGTTTGGTGCAAAGATTATGGACATCACAAGCCATCTAGATAGGTATGCAGAGTAGTGTACTGGGGGAGGACAGCTGTGGTGCACATTGGCACCATTGATATTAAGTCCAGGATTTCCCAACTAGTATTTTAAAAAATGCTGGCTTTTCCACTTATCAGAAAAGTCAGGCATGGGAGAACAGGGTTGTCAATGCTTGGGTGAAATGGTGATACCAGGACGAGGTTCTATAGGCCTCTGGTACTTAACAATAAAAAGGTTGCAAAGCAGCTTTTATACTGAGCTTGGTGGGAAAGTCAATCCGAGGTCTCAGCTAGTATTTCCTATATGAATATTCATCTGGTTTGGGAATACTCATCCTTTAAGGATAAAGAGTAAAGTTTTGGGAGAGTGGCAAATCTATCCGTAATGATCACTGCATGGCAGGAAAGTAATACTGGACCAAGGGAGTAATAGATGGGCTAGCAGAAGGACCTGTAGGAAAGGAATTATGTACTAGTGTCCATATGATAATGATAGAAATCTGAGCAAAAATGGGAATATTTATTAGGAATGGTGAAAGTTTTCTAGATACAAGCTACAGAAAGGACAGGAATGAGTCCACAGGGCAGCATTTTGGGTTACAGAAGAGATAGATCCAACCAATTGGAAGCTAAGGCAAAACAGGGAAATTGATAGGATTGGAGGACAGACTGCTACTGTTGAGTTTATTCAGCTTAGAGAAAAGTTGTTTAGCAAGTAAGCTGAATTAATAAGTATGCATACTAAAGAAAGTGGTAGCTTTCTCCATCTCTCCTTATAACACCTTGTTTCCACGAAAAAGGCATCAGGTCTTATTTTCGGGGAGGTGTCTTTTCCATGGTCTCATCTTGCGGCAGCGGCACCGACAGCCCCGCCCAGCTGGCCCACTTCTTCTGTGTCAAGAATGGAACTTCAGATTGATGCACACAGTACCTCCCGGCCTGCATTCTGCTGTCAGAGGCCTTCTGTCAGGATGCCCCAGAAGTGGGCCAGCAAGGCAAGGCAGGTGTCAATTCATAGGAGGCCTGGCTGCAACGGTAAGCAGGTGTGGGGTGCGTGGGGCAGTTCCACCAACCCCCACCCCCGCCCTAGCTTGATTTTTAGGCATGTGCCTTGCCCCAGAACTAGGGTTATATTAGGCCCACCCCCAAAAATCAAGCTAGGGCTTATTTTTGGGGTAGATCATACTTTCGGGGAAACATGGTAGATCAAGAGGTCACCCAATGAAATTAACTAGTAGAAGATTTAATACTAAGAGGAAATATTTTTTTTCATTTGGCAGATAATCAACGTGACACATAGTGCTAAAAGATGTTGTGTTGGTCACTGGTTTAGATTCAAAAAATAAGTTCCAAGAGAATTTTATCAATGACTGAGTTGATGACTCCAAGCATGGAGGGCATCCCAACTCTCTATAATAGAAATATTGATGCAACAATATCAGAGCTGCTTTGATGTCCTATTTGTGGGTTTACTCCATGCATCTGGTAAGCCACTGTTGCCTCAGCCTGTTTGAATGGGGCTATTCTCATGTTTTCATAACGGGTATTGTGGTTCATTCATATGATAAATATTGTCTCAAGAGAATATTACTTTAAAACAATTCATATAAAGATAAACATAAACTGGCCCTACCAGCAGGTTGGTGATGGAACAAATGAAACATCACTAGGACATGTTTGTTTAAAAGGTTAATATGGAACTTTTGTGTTGCCAGTTAGAGTGTCAGGATGATCCTTTTTGCCCCTTTTGGGGACATTTTTCGTAATGAAGTTTTATGTTATTTGTCCTAGTGCCTCAATAAAACTTTTTCTGAAGAGATCTTAATACATTTCTATTACTCCCTTAAGTATCTTACAAAAGAGACTTCTATTCCCAATATTTTGATAATTTTCTAAGCTGTATTCTCCATTGCTTTGATTAGAAGAGCTACTTTCTGCACCATTGTTGGAAAGAAACAAATAGAACAGCAATAAACCGTGTTCTGTCAAAGGCAGAATGCACTGATCTCAAATCATTGTTCTACTTAAAACTGCCCAAGGATGCACTCCAAAGATAGGCAGATGAGAGCTACTAAGAGGGGATTATCATCCTCTGCTCCTACATATAAGTCTTTCTCTCCTTGGGCTATTGATGAAATGGGTTTTGCACAGAAAATTTGTAGTGCACCACATTAGTAAGCATTTTAGCATTTCTTAAACCTGAAATGTACATGTCCCCTTGTGCATTGAGGTTTTTTGCTTTTTTTTTTTTAAAAAAAAATTCTTTTGTTGGCTGCAGTCTTCCTTCCTGGGCAAGATCTAAAGTACATCAAGATTTACTGGTTTCCAAAGTCCAAGAAAGATTCTTATACAAGTGTTGGGATCATCTCCCAACCTCCAAAAAGAAGGAATTCAAAACCAAACTGAACAAAAAACTGGGGGATGGGGGAGAGTTTTTCATATTCAGGATTCCATTTATTAATTTAAGAAAGTTCAGAACCATGCCAAAAACAATGTTAAGAACCAGTTTCCTTTTTATTTTTTTCTCAAATATGATTATACACATTCATGTGTCTACTACGGTAAAACTCTGCACTGTTACATTAAAGATACAGTACGCTAACATTCGATTTGAGGTACTTGGAATTTATAAATGTCCTTCATAAATAATGCCATCAGTTGCTATAGTCAAGCACTGTTCCAAACACAGCTAGATTCAATTGTGTCTGAAATAACGGAGTTTAAATTTTTCATTTTTAGAAAAAAAAAAAAAAACTACCAGTGCAAAGTTACTGTAGAAATTAGAATGCATTTGTTTAAATAATATGCAGATCACCTCAAAATATATTACACTAGAAATCCAGTAATAACTTTCTTTCCCCTTTCAGTTCAGCTTGCAAGATGATATTCAGAATAATTTCAATATTGTCTGTAATATATTTTCTTTTGATCTCTGGCTCTTTATAGATACATTGGATGGCTCCAGAAGACTAAACCAATATACAGGTAGTCCATGACTTACAACCATTTGTTTAATGATTATTTAAAGTTACGACAGCACTGAAAAAAGTGACTTATAATCGGTCCCAGTACTTCTGAACCATTGCACCCGTCGTCAGATGACCATAATTCAGGCACTTGGCAACCAGCATGCATTTAAAAATGCATTGTCCCAGGGTCATGTGATTCCCATTTGCGTCAGATGACCATAATTCAGGCACTTGGCAACCAGCATGCATTTAAAAATGCATTGTCCCAGGGTCATGTGATTCCCATTTGTGGCCTTACCACAAGCAAAGTCAATGTGGGAAGCCAAATTTGCTTAACGGCTCCGTGATGCACTTAATAATCGTAATTTGCTTAACAAACATGGCAAAAAAAATAATAATCATAAAATTGGCATTACTTTAACAACCATATTGCTTAAGGACAGAAGTTCCAGCCCTGATTGTAAGTCGAAGACTACCTGTATTATAAATATATTACCCCAACAATTTAGGATACAAACTTTTTATTAAGGGGCAAAGCTTGGGGACAATTCTGTAAATCTGCCAAGTTATTTCTGCAGTACAGTTTGCTGCAAATCTTCTCATTCTGTCCACAATCTACGTAAGGTAACATAATTTGAGTTTACTGAATCCAATTTAGCTTGGATATTAACAGAGTATAGGGTCAAAGTTAATATGCCTGATCCACTGCTGCCAGCAAAACATTGAAGCATATTAAGGACCATCCAGTTCAATTTAAAAAAAAAAAAACCTTCCAGTTCAGAAACGTATTCTGCATTCAGAATACTAAATTGAGTGAAGTACAGGTAACTACATTTGTTTTATTCTATTTGGCAAGGAAAATGTAAGTATTCAAAGCTCTTTCCAAGTTGCTCCCTTGGGAGAAAGAGAGACCAAAGGCTAGATAAATACAGTCCTAAAACTCATATATCACCTTCCTAATACCATTGCTATTTATATAATTGAATCATCTTATGAATTATAAATTTCACTGTATATCTATAGAACAAAATTTGAAAGTTTCTTCATTCGTAACATGCAAAGAAAATGTTGGCTTCCATCTTTTTTTTTAATGTGTTCCGAGAGCCAATACACACACACGCACACGCACGCACACACACACACACAAAACTCATTCCAGGTAGCTTTTTCCTGATCAATATATTAGTACTCAGACTTTTCATTCTGATTTGACAGATATTTCAAGTAGTCATTTATCTTAACAGCCTCCCAAAGGAGATCTGCTTGCCCCTATTATGCCTTGCTATTAGACTAGTAGTGAAGTCAATTTTTATTCCAAGTTTTTACAAAATACCTCTTTAAAGCTGTCTTTAACTGCAGCTACCATCTTTTAATTCTTTAGTTCTCTCTGATTTTCTCAATATTTTCTAATATTTAATATATGCTCTTTTAGAATTTAGAAAGGCAGGTTATGTATGTGAAAACAATGAACTAACATTAGGAGTCGTTCCAGATTCAACTGAAAGGCATTAAAACTGCAAAAACTCACATAATACACACTATATAGTTGACTGCTTAAGGCTGCAGCTCATCACACTTACCAAGGAATTATTCCTAGAGAAGCCAGCAGAATTGATGCTTGAACAAACCTATGTAGGATCGCACACAGGGGCAATGAACATGAAAAAAAAATGCAAATATTCAGTGGTATAGATGTGATCATACACTACTGCAGAGATTTCTCATCTTGTTCAATGATTTTCTTGTGAAATTAATTAATGTTTTTAGTTCTCATTTTTTCCCCATTTGGGCTACTACAACTTAACTATCTTACTTGGAGATCTGCCTACTGCTCCATCTATTTCTCAGGAGTAATTATTTGATTTTACCGCAAAGTAAGACATGCCCGTGGCTACCATTTTTGACATATGGTGATACGTGCTGATTTCATTGGCATTGCGTTTGTGGAAAAGAGGAAACAATACACTGAAATGCAGTGAAGAACTTGAAGATAATTTAGGATTGCACTAGTATATGAGAACTATTTATAGAGGTATGTTAAAAATTTGCCCATATTTATTCTGGCAAACAGCCAACTTGTAACCAATTATGGGAAAAAGCAAAGAAGGGAAAAATCAATACATGTTTCTGTAGCCCTCTAAAAAAAGGTAGCTAAGCAACCTAGTATCAAAGACAATTCATTTCTGTCTTCAGGAATGATCACAATTATACTAATTCCAGTTTCATTGTTCATTATCCACAAATATTTCCCATAAATACCACATATTTTTTGGAATAAAACTGAGACCTTTCATACACCATGTGCTTCAGTGGGGTAAAGCTAAAAGTAGCAGTGTACATGTGCCATCTAGAGGCCGAAAGGGCACAGGGCAACTGATGTGACCTAACTCTGGAAACTGGATTTATTTCACCTTAAGGTCTTCCTTAAATCACGCCATTCACATGTTTTTATTTGGCATATCTCAAACATGTAAAATTAATTGGGTTAAGAAAAAAAATTACCTAAGAGAGGAGTATTTCCTCCCAAACAAATTATGCAGATGCTTTTATCTAGCACTTCCTGCAAGAACCTCAGGCAATATGTATGGTCTACCCAACTATCACGTTGATGTTATGATGAAAGTTAGACTGAGACTAGCTTTTTCCACAAGACATCAGGAATACGGAGCAAATCCTATGACTGAAAAGACCTTTGACCTCTGCACTGTTAGTCTAAATCCAGTATTTGAATACTTAAAAGTTGTGAGAATGTAATCATTTGCATTTCTTTGAAACGCTACTCCATACCTCTGAGAAATGTAAATAAATGTTTTTTAAATAATATTACTTGTGATGATAAAAGTATACTGTAAAAGATACAGAAGTAGCATGTGCTCTTAAAGACAGCTTCTGTTTTGTGAGTATGTTTTTTATATGCTGCACTGCTGAGACAGCTGTTACTGTTAAATTTTCTCATGTTCAAATATTATTTGGGGCACCACAGATATTTAATGAAACCAGAAATCAGGATTTCAAGTCCCAAAAATATTTACAGAGGCATTCTGCAATGGTTATGCTGTCTGAGAATTTTGGAGATTGTAGTTTGAATTCAACAAGAAACCACAAATTGGGAAAAGCTGATATAGATTGGAGATTGGAAGCATCCACAAGGATATTTGGTGGTCTGGAGGGCGAAAGCAGTGTTGAATCATCATGATGGAAGCCCCACACGTTGTTACTATACAAAGTAGAGCTTGCAATGTGACAGTGTTTTTGTTATTTTACTGAAAACTTCAGATTCTCTAGATGCCTCAGGTAGAAATTATAAAGCCACTATTCTAATAGCTAGGGCAATAAAATGTACACTGAAGTACACTGTAGTGGGATGCACTTATATTTGCTTCATTAAAAAAAACGTTTTGCAAACAGAAAACTGGGAAAATCTATTTCAGACTAATACTTAAATTATTTTTTAGACTGAAATGCATAGGGGTTGCTTTTTTGAGGCAGTGCCTTTTATTTCACAAACATGGTATTGACCTATACTCTTTTTTAAAAGCTACCTAGCAACCTGAACATTTTCCTGTTAGAAATGCAGACAGTCCAACCAATTTAAAAAAATCTGGAAAAAGAAAGGTTGACTGACATTGAAAAATCTCCAAAAGTTAAATAAGAAACATTTAAATCACAAATATCCCAGATTCTGCAGGGTTCCCAGTTCCGGGTTGCAAAAATCCCAGTTGGTATTTTTTGTTTGCTGCCGCATGGCATTTTGCAGCCCAAATTTGATAATGTTATTGTGTGTTGCACAAAACAAAGCAGTAATTTACACTTGTGCTAAAAAGTATACTTCTGTAGTCAAAGAGAGAACTACAAGCAGATTCACAAGCAGTCTTAATGATGGCATTTACACTTAACAAAGTAAGTTAAAAAATAAATAAATTATAGTTTGTTGAAGTCATAGTGTCTGATAAGTTAAACAAATACTTTGTATGAGCCTGGTGAATTTCAAATCCCCTCAATAATTCTGCTGCAACCTGTGTTAAATTACAAATACAAGGAATCCCTTTGTTACACCGGCTGGAGATAATGAAAACTATAGCATGTGGAGGGAATCAGATGAGAAAAAAATTAACATCTAGAAATTTGAGACATGTTTCAAAATTTATAATTGGATGAATAGTTATAGTCAAGTTGTATAATGTCCAGTCTACTTGCTTGTTCAAAAACAAAGCTTTCAAACCTACTTGTTTCTATTATTTAAATGTCCCACTAGTTAATTTAATATGTGAAGCATTAAAATATTTAGCTTTGAGTTCTATGGAAAAAATGTCACTGTATGGAACACTGAACAAATACATTCCATGGCAATTGCTAACAATTAAAATGCTCCAAATGTCTGTATTTTTAATACTTGGAGAAAAAAACACGTATGTTTAAAATGATATTTGGGCAAATAAAAGTCACAAAAACTCATCATTTACTTTTTGCTACACATTTTCTGACACTGGAAAAAAAACAAAAACACAAGATGCATGAAAGGCAACCAGAATAATGGCTGTTAGACTTGATTAAATGAAATGTATTTAATCCGGTGAAAAGAAAAGTAACTATCAGAGAGATTTTGTAACAGTGTAAATGTAATACTTCAGAGTAGCCTCTCCTTGTATGAAAGGCTTTAGCTGCCATCCTTCCCACCCTGCGTGCACTATGAGGATATGAGGCACTGCACCAATACGTCTGGAGAGCTACCAGCTAGGGAAGGCTTCCCAAAAGTAATCCTGGGCAAGCAAAAATTGTAATTTAAATATCAACCGCTTGCTTGAAAAAGAGCTTTCTAAAAAATGTTACAGTTAATTAAAAAGCAACTGTCCCCAAAGACCTTGAGTTTATGTTGTTGTCGGTCACAACATAAAATAAATCCAAAATTTCCAAAGCAACTCATTGCAAACCAAACTTCATATATTTTCCAATCAGTTGCTACGGTCTTCAAATGGTTGACATTTGAAGATCTCCTATGTTCCCTCAACAAAACCTCAGCCCAAACCAGTCTCAAATCTAAGTTTGAGCCACATCCTAAGGGCAAAAGACTAAAGACACATTTAATTCTGAGGTGTTCAAGAAGCCTACAGCATGGAGGAGCAAAAATAAATAAATCATAAATCAAAATGACAGGAAATAGCAGCAAAGTAGAGACCAGACAAGTAAGCCTCTTGACACACACTGCATGGAAAAAAAATGACATCTTTCTTCACTAATAAGGCATTCCATCTGTGCTAAAGCTGAACATCTTTAACACTTAATTTGCTAGTTTGATCTTGGGAGCATGTAGCAAAAGAAATACATGTAGACAATAAAAAGTACAGCAAGAGTTAAAACTGTTCACTGCATTTAGGAGTGTCCTACTTGAACTGACCATATATCTGCAGACAACAAGCTAAGCATGAAATTGGCCTGAACCAGACACGATACATCATAGAATCACACAGTGTCCTGCGAACCCACCTTTTCCTTCAAGCATAAAAAATAAGTTCTGGAATTTGCCCTCCCTGAACCCCAGTGCCATTGGTGCTGTCTGAAGAACACTGGAACTGCACCGTTACTTTGCCACATTGGACTTCTGTCATTCCTTCTTGTCCAAAATAGCTGAGTTCATTACCATCCAAAATCACACTAGCTGTATAAAAGGTATCTGGTTCGATTTGCACTGGATACTCAAACCACACGGGGAAAGTATTGCTAGATCCATCTGAGAAATACTTGCTTAAGTTTTGTCCAAGAATAACACCTTGCCGCTTGAGTTCAATCTTAGCGCTGTATTCTGCTGATCCGCAGCTGGAGCCGTAGAGTCCAAACCCAGCAATGAAAACTCTCTTGTCAACAGCAAACTGGATGCTGTCGCATCGGCCCCTGTAGCGCCACTGGTTGCTGCGATAGGCACAAGACTGGAAGCGATGACAGCGCTGTGGGACCAGGCCTTTGCGGACATTGCTCACAAACTGCAGCTCTGGTTTTTTGGCAGCTGTGTACCAAAGGAAGATATCGTTTGTTTCACTGAGGGTCAGAAGGCCGGACTGAGCAGCCCCGTTGGCGAAGTCATCCAGGGCCATGGTCGGAATACGAATGAGATAGAGCGCCTTCCCAAGCACTTTGCGCTTATTTTCAATGCTAGGAGGCAACTCTTGCCGTTGACACTCCATTTCGGCCCAATTGAGGGCAGCTTCAAAAACCACAATCTCTTTGGCGTTCAGGGTCTCCCTTTGGAGAATGCTTTCAAGGGTTTGGAAATCAATGTCACAGAAGCCTTCCGATTTCAGAGCCAGTTCGGCCTGCGCATCAATCACCTCCCAGCAACGCTCAGTCAAGTCCGGTTCTTCAAATAAGCAGCTCTGGGAAAGCAGCACACAAGCGTTTTTTGCGCTTAAGCTGGTCTCTAGGAAATTCACACAGGCCCGGGCGAGATGAGGAACAATGTACTTCTTGGCGGCATAAAGAGTTGCCAGAACCGTATCAGCAGCCAGGTCAATTTCATCACAATAAATGTATCTGTAATTAATAAATAAATATACACGTCATGCTAATATTTTAGCAGATGGGGAGGGGAAATAACATTTTTCTACATTAATGTATTCTCTCAATCACAGCTTGTACACAACATTTTAGGATGCTGACCAAATAATACTCTCCCTATTTAACAAATTCTTTGTCCTCAAAACTTGCCTGTAGGATAATTTACAATCTCTTCTGCAAATCACCAGTAGAAGGCAAACTTTAATATTTTCTTTTTTTTTCCACAATTCTGTAATAAATTGTTGACTTGCATATATTTGAGTGATGATTCTTTTATATGACTAAACTCATTTAGGCAGCAGCCATGACTTGTTTAAGCAACAGCGTAATGTATACCTTACAAATGAGTACATAATTCTCAAGACAGTTAAGGACCTGTCAGATTAAAAAAAAAAAAAGCCACCACATATATTTAAAAGTGTTACATGCTTGCATGGATGCACTAGCTATTGGTAAAAAAAGAGAGGACTTATGGTGATTTATATGGGAGGGTTTTTTTTTTTAATAACATGTAAGAAGTATAAATTCTGATAGGAACATGTTTTAAGATGTTGTTCAAAAATCTCCCCATGCATGGCTTCTTTTGTATGTCAGCCAATAAAGATGGCTGTGAGCCAACCATTTGTAGACCATAGCAACCAACTGGAAAAAAGGATTCTCCCATTTAATATTACAAATCTTTTGCATCAATTTGGTGAATAGTGTCATGGTTCTGTAACTTGCTCTGTGTAAATCAGCATATAATAGTTCCTGGCCATAGTAATACACTATTTGACTGTCCAAAATTACAATTCTGGGTTTAAGAATTGCTCTTCCCTACTTAATAATAAACAATTATTTAAATGTTTTTTTTTAAAAAAAAACTTCTACAATGCTGAATTTCTGTTTTTGTTAACCTTAGTTGACAATTCCATTTGAAACCAATGCTGGAGATCTCTCTGCCATAAATCTGAGCATGTGATACTCTTGTATATGCATATAAGCATGTATGGAAATATACCTGCCAAATCCACCTAACCTAAATAAGATAAAACATAAAATTGTATTAAATGAACCGCAAGTGGGCTTGGGGTTGTCATCTCTAAGAAGTGTGGATGTAAAGCACAGCATCAAGTCACTGCATCACTTAGTGACAATCCCGGTAATCCCAGTTCCTATCGCGACCCAAGACGTGTGGGGGTTCATTAAGTGGAAAGCAGGGCTGCAGGGAGTGAGGAAGTCCTGGGAAGTCCAGTAGAGGCTAGGGGGAGGAGAAGGTTGTGGCACCATGCAAGTGCAGGAAGAAAATGGGGTAGAGGGTGCAGTACAAGTGCAGAAAGGCCATGGGATGGAAGGTGGAGTGCAGCGGAGTGCAGGAGGCAGGATGTGCAAGTATAAAAAGGCCATGGGGTGGAGGGCACAATGTAGCATGAATGCAGGAAAACCAAGGGAACTTACCAGAATGACTTGGTGACTTTTCCTGCCAGTTTCCCCCTTGATTTTGCTTGTGGGGAAGTCAGCAGGGAAGGTCGCCAAGGTGGTTGCATGACTACGAGTCCTGCAATGTTGTAATAGTGAGCCAGGCACCAAGTCCCCAGATTGCAATCACGTGACTGCAGGAGTGCAGCACGTCCACCAGAACTCAGAAGGAACAGTCAGACATCCATTTTTTCAGTACTGCTGTAATTTTGAATAAGCACTGAACTAATGGATGTTAGCCAAAGACTACTTATAAAAACTAGCAATTAAGCTCAATTGCCTGTCAAATAAGATGCCCCATTTCTGAAATCTGCATATATGAACACTGTCTCATGCAAACAGTTCTCACACAGGAACATACACAAACTCCTCCAAAGAGGAAAATACAGGATGGAGATTGGGTAAGAGGAAACACTCATTGTACTAAAAAGGGATGGAGAAAGAAAGCGACAAAACTGGATGAAGAGAAGAAATGTGGGGAGAGGCATTCAGGCAAGGAAGGAGAGAAGCCTTGTCTGATTGTTCCAAAATGGCTAAATTTACCAAAGAAGCAACCTTTCCAAAGCAGCACTTCCAGGTGTTGTCTGCATTATTTGTACCTCATACTAATTATTTTCTTTTCAGTACATTTTTATATTCTTAATACACATCCCAATTCAAAGGTTTAATTATTTGAAAGAAAAAAAGAACCATAATATATCTGCTTGGATGGTACAAAATCCATCAGAGAAACATTCCACTGCCTTTTTGCTTTTGAATGGCTGCTGGACATCCCAAGGAAGGGAAGAAGGGAAGAAAATATTTTTGCTTTTACTTGCAACCAAAACCTCTGAGGACAGCACACAGATACCATCTTTGCAACCTGCTAATGGTAAAATAGCTGAATATACGGCAAAGTTATGCCAGTCCAGTTATCAGATCGATCCTGTCAAAGGACAATACGAATCAAGATTGGACTTTGTTTTGCTCTGAGGAAAAAGACTGATTTCGCTTTTTCGATGGATCACAGTTAACAGAAACATAGATTTAACTTTCTTATGAATGCAGCCACCATGACAGAAACAACCTAATAAAAACTGCAGCTTTAATTCCCTGCTCAACCAATTAATAAACTAAAGCTCTGGCAGCTCCATAAATTTTCCACTGTGGTGAATTAGTGTGAAAGTTACACAGGGGAGGTGGGTGGTAATAATGTTCACCACCAACAAAAGATACTTCAGCCACTCAGTCATATGGATTGTTCTGCCATAAGACAATGAAAAGACCTCTGGCTTAGGTGGCTTTAAAAAGAGGGTAAACAGGCATTCAATGCTTTTCTACATTCTTAGTTGATTTAATGGAAGCTTACTCTATTAATACTTCTGAATTCCAGGAGGAGTGAGAAGACAACAATAATTTTCTGAGTGGCTGTCAAAATTGGCAAGACACTCAATTAAATTAGTCTCCTCCCCCATTAGATATTTAATCTAGTAGAGTTCTTATAGCCCTTATCAAAATTTCAGAACACTCACGGAAGAGTATTAGGCTATCTCTATCCTAACCGACTTTTCTTCCTTGTGAATTCAAGTACTTCAGAGATCTTGTTCCATCACTGTCTACGTGCACATTTATGAGAAATGCTCCAATTTGCCCTCTCGGGGGAAGTAGCTAGACTTGAAAAGATTGTGGGGGAGGGATTCCCTAGTGAGCTGTGTTTCAAAATGCCTGCTGCAAAGTAACACTTTTTCTGATGCTTGTTATTTTCTACTTCCAAATCCCAGCCACGAAGCTAAAAGGAACATGGCAATCCGTTTGGAAGATGTGAACAGAGAGAGGATTCTTCTCTTGCAACAGCTTTGATCTTAGCTTTGCACAATCTTAACGCAATCTATAGTTGAAGTAAACATGGCCAAGTTGCACACATTTAAAACTAGCATTCTATACGTTCTGCAGATTACAATGGAAAATACGATTTGTAACAAGATTAATAGTTACAGAAAAAGATGGGAGAATCTGGTGTTGAAATTTGTTTGAGCACCACTGACTTCATAGTGGGAGGGGGGAAATGAAGATAACTATGCAACCTTTTAAACATTACTTACTACCTGGAAATGGGAAAGGCTTCAAAATGCAGTAGAAATGCCAATTTCAGGTAAGGTCTTATTAAAAAGAGTTCCACTTGTATGCCTTTTTTTTCCCTGCTTGGGCACTGATTGTTTATTTCTAGGGCAGTCCTAAACGCCACTGAATACTGATGCTGCTGTGACCTATACCTAAGACTTTTCCAGAACACAAAGTCAATGAAGTAAAAACCTCGTTAAGAGAGAAATTCACCTGATTGGAAAGTTGGGCTTTCAGTTGAACCCATGCATTCCTAAACATGAATTATTATCTGCTAAAGATGACTAGAAGATAGTGAAGATGCCTCTTTGCTAGCTTTTGTTTGATGGGGACAGCTCTGCTGTTGGGAAGTCTCCCATGGCATCCGCAGAAAGAACCCACTGTAGCAAGTGTAAAACCATGAAATGAGGCATTCTGGGCAGGGATCTAATGACACAGTTTCTCTAAGACAGACTTGATTCAGGCCCCTCAGTTATGCCTGCAGAGAGCTGATAGTCTCCCACCGTTACTCCCAATGACTGGGAAAAACCTAACACTTATATTTAAATATTACAATCACAATCAACTTTGAGAATTCTCAGTGTCTAGCCACATATCATGACACAATGACATATTATTGCTGGTTATCCTACTTTGCATAACTTCATGTTCCTCATACATTGTATGCTAACTGGTGATTACTTGATTTTAAGGAAGTTACAAAGTACTTGTTTTATTACCATCCTAGCTATTTAATTAAGACATTAACAGCTAAGGGATAGCTATCCAAAGTGGGGGGAGGGGAAATCAACTCCCACAGTGTTAAGACTTTCAGATACACCTTCTACTTGAATTTATGGAAAGCACAGTAAGAAAGCAACTTGTTTGTCTTTACATCCCACTCATCACACAAGAGAAGCAAGCCAGATGGAGTGAAGAATCGCTAAAAAAAGGGGAAAAATGCATGTTCTATCTTCAGTTCCATATTAAAATGCCTCAAATACATTTGGAGAAACAAATTGTTGTTAACATTTTAGATTTTATGCAACTGATGGGAAAAAATATTATCATTGTGGATGCATTTGACAGATTTATATAATGACAATTGCACTGAAGAGCACTATGTGCTTTACCAAAAGAAGTAGTGCAATCCTTTTCATTGTGATATATATGAAATTGTTGGTTTGGATTTTCTTTTCATGTTTTTAAACTTATCACATCCCTCCTTTTATGGATAATTTATTAACAGTTTGCCCAAAAGTTGTAAGTGACATGCAAAATGTAGTGGGAGAAAGTGGGGGAGAAAGAGAAAATACAAAATTTGCAATGTAATAAGTTTTAAAAGTAACACAGGGACCATTTTTTTTTTTTTGGAGCAAAGGTGAAGCTATTTCTTTTTATAACAATACACAACTTGTTAACACTGACATTTCTAGAGCAGACAAACTAATGCATTTCTAGTTCATTTCCAGCAACTGAAGAAGGATGCTTGCTTACTTTAGCATCGCGAGGAAAGCGGGAGGCTCCACATCTGGGATACGGATTTCATCTTTATCCTCAGCAAGCTCCCCATAAAACATTGCGTGGAACACAGAGCTCCCCACAGCTAAGACATACTGTTTTTTTCAACAAAAGGAAAATATTAGTTCATGCTATAAAACAAATCCAAACAATTAAAAAAAAAGATATACTAGAGTCACACGCGTATTAAAAAAGAAGGCCTTGTTGAAAGCAATGAAGGTTTTCACCTTTCAAAACTAAGCAGGGGAATGCTGGGTTTTTCTTTTCACCTTAAGAAATAGTTCTTCAATATATCTATGGCTTTCCTAAAAGAGCTTAAGAAATTCATGCCGAGAGCCGAGCCAAGCAGCTGTCGCATTTTGGAGCAGGCTTCTGCATCTTGTGCCCTCCGTGTCGGATGGACTATGACTGCACTCACCTCTAGCTCCCATTATTAATTACTATTATTAGAACCAAAGTCCATCATACAGCCCTTAGAAGGTGCTTGGATAAAGAAGGCTTATCAAACCCTTCTATTGTAGCAACCTTGGGTAAGACATATCTCAGATATATCTTAGGATTTTTGTAAGAATTAGAATTAGTGGTTGGGGGAAAGATGGTAGCAATCTGGAAGAACATTGGGATAAGTGTCACAAATCACACGTAAAATTCTGCAACAGATCTTCTACCAGAATTGCAAAAAGGTGTTAACTAGAAAGCAAATTATTAGAACATTTCACAGGCAATGATACTGAACAGTATTTCTAAGTATACCAGTTCCAGGATTCAAGCCCTCCATATGAATTTAAAGGAGGAATTGTAGATAGTCCCCTCACACTCCCAATGTCAGACCTGCTTCTGCAGCTGTTGCTTACTTTGTGTCCTGGTAATCGCTGGGTCCCACCTGGTGGCCCAACCACAAAATGAACATCTGCCATCAAGTCGTTGTTGAACATCACTGCATTTCTATAAACAGAAGCAATATATTAATTGGGAGTGTTTAGCGTCAAGCTTTACCTCCCAACAGAAGCAATTCATTTTGTTGGAAGCTCTTTAAAGGGTTTCATTAAAAATCAAACCGAGAAAATTAAACAGAAAGCAATGATAATTAAATATTCCAAGGTTCAGTGCTTTTAAAATAAGGATACCATTACAAAAAAAAACTTTGGGAAAAACTTTCATCAAAGTGAATGTGCCAAGCTGTGCAAACATATGAAAGTTAATAACATAGAAAATACATTTTTTTTAGGAGTGCAAACCATTATGAGGTTAAAATGGCTTGCATGAGACTATATTTTTCATTACCAAAAGACAAGAACTGCACTGCTGGAAAGGAGAAACATTTCCCCTTTTCTCAGTTTTAATGAAAGATCCTGTGCTAAGAAAACATTTCATTACACGCTGCTCCAAAACTTGTAAACTCAAGGAAGAAACAGAGACAAACTTCCTTACCTTTCTCGGATGGTGGGATAAAGTCCTTGCCAGTTGGGAGCTGGGATAATATTGTTGTTATTGATATTTTGCTGGTGATACTGCTGGATAGCAGTTGTGTTACTGTTAGCTGGTTTCTTTCGGGGGAAAATATCAGCAGCCATCTTTTTCTTCTTTTTAGTCTTCAAGGTAATGATTTCATAGCACACTGGAGGTAATTTGCTGCTGCTGCTGCTGCTGCTGCTGCTGCTGCTGCCACCGTTGCCACTGCTGCTGCTGCTGTTGCCACTACCACTGCTGCTACTACTGTTTACCTTCTTCGAGCTTTTCTTCGACCTGTTCTTAACTGTCTCTGGAAGCATCAAGAAGAAGGTGAGACATTTCATGTTCTTTCCCTTGTCATCTACCATGAGTATCCCTGTCTGTGTAAGCAGAGAGCCTTACTTGGTAAAGCAGAAGGTACGAATAAAAAGCAGCAAAGCTGAGAGATTGTGCTTCTTTTTTTTCAGCAAGGCAAGGTGACCTTTTCCAGTGTGCTGAATAAGAGATCAGCTTTTTAAGTTTGATCCAGGGCTTGACTGGTTAAACGTCTCCCCATCGTGGTTCCCAGTTTCATTTGCTTGTGCAAGCTTTTTCTCCCACCCCCCCAAAGGTCTGGAGGCTGAATCACCTGAAACTGCTCCTGCTGTGGCAAAGCAAGTAGAAGAGCAAAGACGTGCTGCCTGCTCGTCAGCTGCCTCAACTTGTGTGCTGAATGGATCTGCACACAGGAGGCATTAGAGCCCTGCAGATGGAGCCAGACAAGCAGCATCCTAGCCCAATCGCTGAAGTCACCAATAACAATTGGACTAGCAGCACAGTGACACCTATTGTAGATATACAGTGCCCAAATATTAAAGAGCCAGCTATCGCAATCGCACTTCACATTGCTTTAAAAAGTAAGAAGCAATTGCACATGCAAATGCATGTGCATTTTTACGTAAGTGCTACACTAATGAATGTGTCTTAATGCCACGCATGTTAGCAGAGAAGAAAATAATTTCAGAGAACAGCAGGATTCTGTGTTAAAAAACATCAGAAAAATATTTTCAAACAGACACAATAGCCAAATAATGCAGTACTGATTTTCTTTCCTGCATTTTTCTCCCCATAATTAAAATGATTAAATGAATTTGGTATCCATGTTAAAGCCAATTAATTTGCAGCATAAAATGGACTGATACAATTTCATCGCTCCTTCTTCAACGTAGTTTGTATTCCAGACCCTAACTGAACAGAGATGAGGTCATCACATTAGTTTTTAACTCACTATGTTTTCTGCTAACAGTCTTTGACAGACATCTCAAATCACTAAGTACAAGCTAATTAGGCAAAACTGTGCCAAATATAATTGCATAGCTTCATTGAAAAGTATCTACAAGGATAGATCAAATACAAATAAATCAAATTATTTATATATAAATTGTTTAGAGAAAAATATTTCTGTGTGCATGCAAACAGATCATATTTTCGAACTAATATAATTACACTTTTATTGTAGAGTTTGATTGCTAAAGTGGTCCAGAACATAGAGAACAGTAAAAAAATTATATAACCACTGAACAAATTATAGGATCTGCACAGATGGCCTACACTTTTAATCATATTGCTTCCCTCAAATAACAGCAGCTTAACACTGTAAGATTTGAACTGCAGAAAGAGCTACTGTGAATATTCAAGCAGAGGCAGAAGGACAGCACTTCCACATATAACAGGATGTCACACAATAAGACAAGAGAAGGCCATGTGGCTAAGTTAAGGACAGATTCTGTTCCTGCAACCAAAACGAGGAGTCCTAGACACAGGAGTTGGATCCTCCTTGCAGCATATGCTTCATCATATTTTAATTTCTCTCTGTAATGTATCACTGAATGAAGGAAGCATACAAAGAGATAACGCTGTATGGAATGAAAACCAGAAAGGGGAGGGGGGGGGAAACTAGGCGAAGAAATGCCGTTTGAACAAATAGCACTTTGGCTTCCGTAGAGGCTAGCTGTTTTACTCTTAGCATCTTAATGCTACAGTACTTATTAACGTAAATGTAATACCCTACATTTCAAATGTGAACCTGTATAGGTAGTCCTTGACTTACAACAGTTCATTTAGTGGCCGTTCAAGGTTACAACGGCACTGAAAAAAAAGTGACTTCTGACCGTTTCTCACACTTACGAGCATTACAGCAACCCCATGGTCATGTGATCAAAATTCAGACGCCTGGCAACGGACTCTCATTTCGGATGGTGGCAGTGCTCCCAGATCATGTGATGACCTTTTGCGACTTCTGACAAGCAAAGTCAATGGGGAAGTCAGACTCACTTAACAACCGTTTTATTAACTTAACAACTGCAATGATTCACTTAACATCTGTGGCTGTTGTAACTTTAAACGGTCATCTAAGTGAACTGTTGTAAGTTGAGGACTACCTGTGCATGCTGGTTGCCAGGTGCCTGAATTCTGATATGACGATGTTGCAACAGTCAAATGTGTGAAAAATGGTCATATGTCAGTGCTACTGCAACTTCAAATGGTCACTAAACGAATATTTGTAAGTTGAAGACTACCTGTACCACATTTAGAACAGAATATAGACTGGACATATTTTTTAGCAATGGATATCACTATCCAATCCATAAATCTAAAATATTAATTTATTAAATTAAATCCATTTTTAGAGTGATTGATGGAATATTAAGAAAATGCACATCTGTTGTGGTTATAATATTGTTTTTGTGGGCTGTTATTGTGGGTAAAATAGGAGGAGGAAAGGTATGTTGGCCACCTTGAGTTATTATAAAGTAATAAAGGTGGGATAAAAATCTAATAAATAGATTACAAATAGTGAATGGAATCACAACAGACTCTCTCTTCTAAACTGAAATTTAATCCTGCTAAGATAAGAAATTCTTCCAGTCAGCAGAGTAACCAATCTAGAAATAATAAGAGAATGTTCCCCTTGAGAACATGGATTTTTCACTTGGATTCAGCTTTGACACTTTAGATGACACCCAATATCAAAAATACATCAGTCATTACACATATAAGGAGGGAAGATCTTGCTATGGTAGAACATGCACAAGCTACATGTCAACATTGTACACGTACATTGATTCATTTTAAAAATCAGTTCAATGTGTTTTTTTATTGATTGGTGTTGGGTTTCAGGAACATATCAGTAACCTATCTTTTTCCAGGCCCAATTCAAAGTGCTAGTTATGACCTTTGAAACTTCACATGGCTTAAGATGAAGGATCTTGAAGTACTATTTTTCATACATGACCCTGCCAAATATTAAGAGGATTTCAAAATGATTATGCCACATGTCACAACAAAAAAGTGCTTTTTGCTTATGTTGTCAAAACTCTACAATTCCATATCTGAAAGTCTGTCCTTCCTTTTTTTGAATTTCTGCCATCACAGGCTTATGATCTTTCTGTTCAGAATTTATTTTCTTTTGGAAGCAGGGAGTGAATATTTTTAAAATAGATTTGTTTTCCCGTTAATATAATATTTAAGATTCACCAAGTGTACTCTTTTGATCGCCCTTTTTTTTCAATCATTTAACTTCAACTACTTTCAGAACTTTCATTTTACATATATTAGGCTATGTTAAAAAGATGATGTATTTCTAAAAGGCTTTGCATACTAATTGTAAAATAACTTTCTCCTGATTTCTCTAATCAATATCTTTTGATGTGTTTCTACTCTTTATATGTTCCCAATCAGCCTGGATGCTTTTTTCTTAATTCTGTATTTCAATCTGACATCTAAAATAACCTCAGTCTATATGTTAGGTTATAGTTCCCTCTATGTATCCTGACTTTTCATCCATCATTTTTTTGTATTAGTTCCCACACTGTTCCCTTTCTTCTGAACAGGTCCACATAATTGTCTGGGGTGCCTCCTTTAGAAATATCCATGTCACACTTGGAAAACTTGAGTGACACAAATATGAAACTTTCAGAATTAAAGCTGATCGTAGACTAATTAGCTTACAATGATTCTCTTCCACAAGACAGCGCCAACTGGAATAGAATAATATTTTTAAGTCTCATTATTATGCTGCATGATTCTACCAGAATAAGAATGTACTTATTCTTTCCATTGTGTATTTGACAAAATTGCCAGGAAACACTTATAGTGCTAGTTTTATGCATAATTTGTTTCCTGACAATACAATTAAGGGGAAAGACAAACTATTAATTTCAGAAACAAATATTGGAACAACCAGATTTCGTCTATGTAACTTGAGAATTATTTTCATTAAAGTCCATAGACATTTTAAAGCAGCAGTAGTCATCTCTTTCACTTCAGGTGTTTTAAGATATAGCCAATTCTATGGAATTAGCGCCTCAGTAGGTGTACATAGGAGAGCACCATTAGAGAAAAGAGTCATTTTTCAAACCACAAACCATTACACTAGACTGTAATTCAATTGAATTTATCATATTCAAAATAATATCCATATATTATTTTAGGAAAAGACTATTCAGAAATACTGCCACTAATTACACATAATTTACATCTTAACTGATGCAAAATATCAATTAAATTTGAAAGGCTCCTTATGACAATAAAGATACCTAAAATCCTTGGCCTACAGCCATTTATTTAGTGGATGTTCAAAATTATGACACCACTGAAAAAAGCAACTTACATCACTTTTAAGTCCTGACTTAAGATGTGCCTTAAGCCTTTGAGCTTATGACCATTGCAGCATCGTGTGATTGCAATGTTTAACAACTTGTTTAACAACTGTGGGTGATTCACTTAACGATGGTGGCAAAAAGATTGTAAAATCAGGTGTGGTCACATGATGCCTCACTTAATGACTGCTTAACAATCAGAAGTTGAGGACCATCTGAATAAGTGTAATACATGCACAATATTGAAATTAAACGTAGGAAGTCTTATTCTGTTGTGAGCCTAATTAGGTTTGGTGAGGGTAGTAGTAGTAAAGAACTGCATATAGCTCAAGCTAGTGGGAGCAATGAGTGGGATAATCTTTCAAAAATCTGCAAAACACTACCATACTTTGCCTTTATAGGCCACTTTTATACATAGCCCCTGCCATTATTATTTTCATCAATAACATCAAAATGTTATTGTTATTTCTAACAGAATCCTGCAATACAACAGATTCCAGATATGGATGAGAAAAAGGAATTGTATTATTTATTAAGATGTACATTTATACAGAACTGTTTAGAAATTAATCACAAAATTGCCAGTGCTAATTTTAAGTTTCAGGCAATACTTAGCTGGTGTGTACGATACACAACTAACCAGATTGCTAAAGGGATATTCTCATGTATTACCATGCTAAAGTTAGGTCTATGATTTCAGAACTAAACATTGGCTGAAAGCTTCTAACTATTACTCTTATTGTGGCCTTTCATATTTCTAATTCCTTTGGATAAGCAAATAGTACCAATACTTCTAATAAGAGATGTTTGTGTGATAGGATGAATGTGGTCCCCTTGTTAGAATTGTTTTCTACGTTTAATATGTTATCTATATGGATGTTTACTTTTTGTATACATTATATTATTTTAAATTGTGAACCACACAAGAGTCATTTGGAGTCTAAATAAATGGCAACTGTTCTACCTTCAGGCTCCAGCAGAGGGAGGAAAATTGCATTATTCCATTAGTTCTGCTGAAATACCAATCAATTCTGTTTGGGTTTTTTTTTCTGAACTCGGTTCCATCTGGGTCTGTATTTTTGAATATAAGGGAGAGAGAGTTGTTTTCAAAGCCATTTTGGGAGCGTACAATGCTATCTATTATAACTCCACAAGCATTACTTTTTAAATTGCATAAACTAGAGGACTGTTCATTCCCTGCATTAATACTTATATTCTTATTAGCATTGCAATAGATGCAAAAAAATGCTAACACTTTTCAGGAGGCATTTGGAACATGTAAAATATAGTGTATTTAGTGTTTTCAACTAAATAAGGGCCTATAGTAAAATTAAGGGAGTCAGCTTGGTGTGGTGCTTAAAGCATCAGGCTAGAAAATGGGAGAAGGCCCAAAGTTGAGTAATTTTGGGCCAATCACTCTTTCCAGCATTAAGAAGATAAGGACAAACCACTGTTGAAATCTATCACAAAAGCTGCAGACAGTCTTGGTAGTCACTAGGAGTCAACACTAACTCAAAGACATAAACATAAAAGTGTTTTATATTGTCCCAAGACTGCTATTTTAATTAAAGCCTTGTACAGTAGAATTCTTTTACTTTCTGATGCTGTAGATCAGGGGTGTCAAACTGCCAGCCCACGGGCCAGTTGCATCATACGGAGGCCACGCCCACCCCAGCTCCGGCAATGCAAAACAAGTCACGATACGTAACGACACGTCACATGACGAGTTTGACACCCATGCTGTAGATTTTTATGCAATCCTAAATCTAGAAGTAAATCACTGAGCTCAATGTAATTTCTTCTGAGTAGACATGTCTACAATGCATCATTATTAGACAAATCTTTGTTGTTGGTTTTCTTGGTGTGTTTGGAAGGTGATACAGAAAATATATGATGCCCCTTTATTATCATAATTCTTAATATTTTGTTGAATATTATTATCTTGATATTCAGTGTGCTCTGAGCTCTAACATGCACTAAAAATACAAAGATTGTTAGCATGGGCTATTTTGAATTCTACTGTATGCATGCACTCTATGTATGTTGTTGTGTCTTATTATTCTAATGTTAAAATTCAAGGATAAGTAATCCCCTCCCTTTTTGCAGCCCTGCACCTGTGCATTAGAACAGCAAATAAATCCCAAAGGACAACATGCTTGTGTCTGTTTGCAAGCTGCAAAAAATGTATTGCTTGATTTGTAGACAAGATAGTGGCAAGTCCTAGAAAAAAATTAAAGAAATTTGAACAATAACAAAGATAGCCGCATAGAAATGGAAGATAGTACATCATGAACCCAATTGTTTTGTTTATCTGCAGGTTTGGGAAAGGTGTTAATTGAAAGGGATGTGAATGAGATTGCCAACTGCTCTGTTAATTTACTGGATCAACACCTCCAAGTTTTTTTTTTAAAGCACTGAAGATATGTTTCCAATGACACATTCTAATTTCAACTGACTAATTTTAGTAGGTGATAGCAGAGCTGGTTTCTCATTATTTTTTATTAAAATTTGTTTAATGTTTTAAAAATAAACATTGTTGCCAAATTTTTATGCAAATCAGTGTGTAGGTAGTAGTAAATGTAGAATGTCAATCTACACATTCTTATGGTATTCAAGTAAAAACTAGGAAACAGCAGGCAGGGGTATCTATGGGATTAACTGCTTTCATCAAAAATGCCAAAAAAGGCATTGCAATGCAAATTCCACCCCTTCTATAACTGGCAGGCACATTTACTCAACAGGTTACTGATAGCAAATAATCCAAACCAATTTGTTGAACCTGAAATAGTGATCAAATGCAATCTACACTGTGAGACCAATTTTATTCCTAGTTTGGTTTTCTTATTTTTATATTTAATTCAGTTATCATTTTATAAAAATTCTGTTAACTATTCTTTGCAATCTTGAACATAAAGATTAAACCAGAAACTTTCCTTCTGGGCCTAATGGAAAGAAAACTGGGGGGAAAAATGGGAACTCTGATTTTATATATGGCGACGGCAGCAAGACTGTTCTATGCACAAAAGTGGAAAGATGCCTTGATTCCCACCATGGACGAATGGTTACAAAAGCTGATGGAATTAACAGAGATGGCCAAATTGACTGCGCTGATAAAAAAAAAAAAGAACGTAAGTAATTTTGTTTCTACTAGGAAAGTGCTTCTGGACTTTGTGCTTGAAGTGGAAAAAAATGATATCATGATTTTGGGTTTTATCGATTAGACTGATTTGCCGATACAGAAATGGCTAGTGCATACTACTATAGAAATGTAAAAAGTTGAGATTTGATTAATGTCTGATTTTACTGCAACAGAGAGTCAGAAGTCAATGCCTTTTGTCCCCCCCCCCCTTTCTTCACACCTTTTTTGTTTTCCCTTTTTCTACTGTTGTCCCCTACTGTTTGCTTTTGTATTCTCACATTTTATGTTATAAATGAATAAAACATAATAAAAAAACTATTTTTGCGATCTTTAATTCCCCTCCCCTTCCTCTACTCTACATATTCTCTCATCTTCTTCCTGTAAATATACATACATATGCAAAAAGAGACAATTTAAAAGTAGAAATTATGCCTCCAAAAACATAGTTATACATAAGTTCTTGTAACATGTAAGACAGGCTTTGTGATTTCATTAGTAAATCATGGTTGAACAATTCATTGGGATTCATATTAATTGATGTATAAAGCATAATGTACAACCACACAAAGCTTAGGTTTGTGCAACACACCAAGACACATAGAAGCCAACATCATGACAATGTATAGTGAAACCTGGAAAGAAAGTGAGCACGTAGTAAGAGGAATTAAGAAGAAGGACTCGGGGTGACATGATAGCAGTGTTCCAATATCTCAGGGGCTGCCACAAAAAAAAGGAAGTCAAACTATTCTCCAAAGCACCTGAATGCAGGACAAGAAGCAATGGATGAAAATTAATCAAAGAGAGAAACAACCTAGAACTAAGGAGAAATTTCCTGACCGAATAATCAATCAGTGGAACAACCTGCCTCCAGAAGTTGTGAATGCTCCAACCCTGGAAGTTTTTAAGAAGAGACTGGACAGCCATTTGTTTGAAATAGTGTATAAGGTTTCCTACCTGAGCAGGGGGTTGGACTAGAAGACCTCCAAGGTCCCTTCCAACTCTGTCGTTCTGTTCTGTTCTAAACGTCTACAGTGCATGTCTACAATGTCTTATCTGCAGTTATTCCAACTTTTTCAGGGACATAGGTCTCAAGTATGGGTTGTATACAAAAGGCCTCTCCATAATTGAGATCCCTGATCTGGACATACATATAAAATGGGGCTTATGTGAAAGGAACATTTGCAGAAGGAGTCTTGCAATCTTTATTGGTAGAGTTCAAATCCCCCTCCCCTCTCCCCTGCCCAGAAAACTAGGACTAATTTGCTGCAGTTATTGCCACATTATAGCCTAAGCAAGATTAATTATAATTTAAAATGCTTGTCAACTTGACATTTTTGCAAAGTCAGAATGTGTGTGTGTAAAATCACTGCCCTGTATCCCCAGAATGTCCTTTCCTCTTAACCCCCCCACTCCATGGTGGGATTCAAATGCCTGAACAACCGGTTCTCTGTGTGGATGCCACTTCCAGAAGTCCATTCTGAGCCAAGAAGGCCTCCCAGAACGGCACACCAGAAGTGTGTGGACACCACTTCCGGATGTCCGTTCTAAGCTGGAGAGGCTTCCCAGGCCCAGAATGGACTTCCAGAAGTGGCATCCATGCACTTTCAGCGGTCCGTTCTGGGCCTTGCGAAAAAGATTTGAAGAAGTCAACAAAAAATTAGCTACCGGTTCGGTAAACGGTGCAAACTAGCTGAATCCCACCATTGCCCCTACTCCCAATAGGAACAATTCAGTTTGCCATGCTGCTAAGAGGAAGAGAGGAAACAAACGGAGCTAATACCCTTGTCCCTGATTCCCATCCAGAAAGAGAATAAGTAGAAAGAGCTGACAGCAACTAAATGTTTCTTTGAATGTATGAGAAAGGAACAGTGATGGAAGACAGTAGAAGACAAAACAGCTAATAGCTCTTCCCTCGCTCACTTTCTGGACAGCACAGAAGCTGGGAAATAGCAATGAGATCAATTACAGAATACAGAATAATAGTATTGGAACGAATCTTGGAGGTCTTCTAGTCCAAACCCCTACTCAAGCAGGAGACCCTATACCCTATATACAATATACCATTGTATATAGCTATATAAATAGCTATCCAATCTTTTCTTTAAAATCCCCAGTGACAGAGCACCCACAACTTTTGGAGGCAACCCATTCCATTGGTTATTTGTTCTCACAGTCACAAAATTTCTCCTTAGTGCTAAGTTGCATCTGTTGATAAGTTTCCATCGATTACTTACTGTCCTGCCCTTAAGTGTTTGGAAGACCTTCTCTTTGTCAGACTAAATATACCTAGTTTTAGTCTCCAGTCCCCTAATAATCTTTTTTGCACTTCTCTCCATCCTTTTTAGAGTTCCAACTTCTTCTTTTGTATTGTGGTAAGCAAAACTAGATGCAGTATTCCAAGTGTGGTCTTACCAAAACAATATAAAATGGTATTAATACTTCCCATGACCTTGATATTATCCCTCTGTTGCTGCAGCCTAGGACTCTACTGGCTTTTTTTGGCAGCTATAGCATACTGCTGGCTCATATTTAGTGGTTGCCACTAGAACTCCTAGGTCCTTCTCACAGTTACTGCTGTTAAGAGTCATGTACCACCTATTCTATACCTCTTCATTTGGTTTTTCTTGATTTCATGAACTACCCTGTAATATGACAATTATTCAAGTTTATTGTTTAGCCTCTAATGCAGAAGAAGAGAAAGTCAATGAATCTTATGATCCAGTTCAATTTGAAACCAACAGAACATGCAAATATGATATGCTTCTTGTGGCTGGAAATCAAAATACAAAGTTGGAAATAATATGGAAGAAAAATTGTTAGATTGCATGGCCTAGGAAATTGACATGAAGTAGAAGAATGACTTCTCAATTTTTGCAAATCCAATGATGGATTTCAAAGTTTTTCAAAAACCAAATGATATCTACTATATATGAACATCACCAGATGCAGTGCAAAGAAATCAAGCTGACCGTAATTATCAGTACAAAGTGATCGAAGAGCTCACTTATAACAACAAACATGTAGTTGGGGTTTGACAGTAGAACCAATCATGCACTGGTCATGGGTAAGTTCCAGTCCAAGTGAAAGCGGCAGAAGAAAGCCAACCCATTTCAATTATTTTCAGGGAAAACATCAGGAATCACATTGGAAGTCCTGAACCTAACTGATAGGGAACCAGAGAAATTGTGGAATGAAATCAATGAAATAAAGATGAATGTGAAGAGAGATTGTCAAAGACCAAAAAACGGAAGAATGCAAACTGGATGTAAAACAAACTGGAAACTGCCAAAAAGAAAAGCCAAAACCAAGAAATATAAAAATCTCTGGAACGAATATTATAAAGAGTTTCAAAGAGATGATAGAAAAGACAAAATACAGTATTACAATATCTGAAAAGATACTGAAGATGCAAACGAGACATGAAAAAAGAAAAAAAAAGTCAAAATGATATATTGAAGGATGCCAATGGACAGATAATAACTGATTCTAAGAAGATCAAACAAAGATGGCAGGGGTATACTGAAATTCTGTACATAAGAGGTGTCAGCATCCAAAATATCTCAAAAGATATTCCTTACTTATAATAAATTCAGTATGGGAAGATGGCATCTCATTATCCTCATCTCAAATCTATACATAGGCCAAAAAGCCACAGAAAGGAGAAAACATTGACCCTCAAAAGTTGCTGAATTACAATGTCCAGCACATATGACAGTGCCAATATAATTCCATTCTGATTAGTGCTGCCAGATCTGGATTACACAATGCTGGAAAAAATACTAGTGTATGCCAGAAAATAGATACAGAAAATTCATAACCCTTAGTGATCACTTGGATTTTAGCAGCCCAGTGCTAGTAGGATTGACCTAGCTTTTCCCTAACATATTAATTTCTATGGCCTAGCCTTCACTAATATGTTCAACCTATACTGGAGCAGAAAATGGTGAGTCAATTACTATTACGCCTAATAATTATATCTACATACCAAACAACCAAATACCAATATGAAAAAAGGGTTTTGGGGTATTTTTTTTCCTTAACATGCTAGCTTTCTGTGTGCAGCAGAGATGAAGGTAAGTCACTACTGGTACATAGGTTTTCCTTGCTTCATGTGTATTCACTTTATTTGAAAAAAAAAAAGATGCTAGTATGAGTTTTGTGTTGACATATTGCAGTTAATTTGCATCAAGGATCTGGAAACATGGTTTCTTTCCACCATAAGTGTTTGAAAATTTTCCCGCCAAACTCCTTTATGTTCTTACACTTACCCTACAGTTTGTACTGTTATTCTAGTTGTGCATCCTACCTTTTACTTATTTCTGTACTTGTAATAGCCACTACTCTAGGTCAAAGTTGTCATCAACTATTTTTCCAACACCCTTACCTTAACTGAATAGAAACAAAGTTGGGCATATAAAACTGTGTTAAAACTGGTGAACTATCCTCATCCCTAGGACAAGATTTTAATTTGGGTGTATCTATTGTGGCCAATATCATAATAATGCTGGTACATAAATGGCAACCGTTTCTTGGATTAGTCCCTACAGTTTTCTTGGCAAGTTTTCAGAAGTAATTTGCAATGGACTCCTCCGTAGGACTAAGAAAGAATGACTGCCCCAAGGTCACCAAAGGCAGGACTAGAATGCACAGTCTCCCAGTTTCTAGCTCAATGCCTTAAGCACTACATCAAATCGCTTTTCATACTAGAAATACAACTGTGAAAAAGATGGAGAAACTGCTTTTACTGAACACACAAAATGAGACAAGGAAGAAAACGTGTTTACCAGCCTAGTGCTTAAAATAAGGCTCTAAAAACGTACAAACACGTCAATACATTTGTATAACGAATGACACCATTTTTTTCCACTAGTTTTGTGTCTGGCTTTATGTAAAGCAGGGGTGTCAACTGGCAGCCCACAAGCTGGATGTGTCACAGGCCATGTCCACCCCCGATCTGCAAAAGTAAGAAACGTCATGATACGTCACGATACATTACATGACGTGATCAAGTTTGACACCTGGATGTAAAGTTTTGGGAGAAACGTAACCCTGGAATGTACCGCAGGATGGGAAAACAGCAGCCCTGATGGTATTGCTGATTATGCAGGTCGTCCTCATT